ACTGTAGAGTCCTGGTCTGTAGATGAGTGTAAACTGCAGAGTCCTGGCCTATAGATGAGTGTAAACTGTAGAGTCCTGGTCTGTAGATGAGTGTAAACTGCAGAGTCCTGGCCTATAGATGAGTGTAAACTGTAGAGTCCTGGCCTGTAGATGAGTGTAAACTGCAGAGTCCTGAACTGTAGATGTGTAAACTGTAGAGTCCTGGCCTATAGATGAGTGTAAACTGTAGAGTCCTGGTCTGTAGATGAGTGTAAACTGCAGAGTCCTGGCCCGTAGATGAGTGTAAACTGTAGAGTCCTGGCCTGTAGATGAATGTAAACTGTATAGTCCTGGCCTATAGATGAGTGTAAACTGTAGAGTCCTGGTCTGTAGATGAGTGTAAACTGCAGAGTCCTGGCCCGTAGATGAGTGTAAACTGTAGAGTCCTGGCCTGTAGATGAATGTAAACTGTATAGTCCTGGCCTGCAGATGAGTGTAAACTGTAGAGTCCTGGTCTGTAGATGAGTGTAAACTGCAGAGTTCCGGCCTGTAGATGAGTGTAAACTGTAGAGTCCTGGTCTGTAGATGAGTGTAAACTGCAGTGTCTTGGCCTGTAGATGAGTGTAAACTGTATAGTTCTGGCCTGATGATGTTGCTCTTCTGTGTTGGCTCATTCTTTTCAACAGTGGCGGCTTTGTTTTCCCGATGTATAACTGATCACAGTCCTCCTGACACTTAACAGCATACACTATATTACTCTGTTTGTGCCGGAGGACTGGATCTTTGGGGTGAACCAGTCTTTGCCTAATTAACCCTAATTATTTAATTAACGAACATCTAAGACCCTAACCGGACCACCTAGAGCTGCTTTAATAAAAATGAGTTGATCAACAGTTTACAGAGACATTCACACCAGTAGAAGTTCATAAACTCCTCCAAAAAGAGACTTATGCTGTGAAATGTTGTCACATTATTACAAGCATGTAGTTCTGCAGTGTGAAGAAGACCACCTGAAGTTTCAGTTTGATCTTTTAATTATATTTGAAAAGACCTTAATGTTTTCTAACTCCTGGTGTTTACCGTTTCCTCTGAAAGGAAATGTTTTTTTGAGTTTTAAACTTCCCTCAGACGTGACGGAGCTSCTGTTTGCTCAGATAGATGTAGGAAGAACTCGACATGTTGCAGATATTTATTGACGAGGGTTCATCACGTTGGTGCCAAGGWGAACCGTGACGTCTGCCTCATAAATACCCCGGGGGGTCGGTGGCGGGGAAAGGTGTGTGAGGCCGGGTGGAGTTTATGAGGATGGGTGGGCGAAACGACGAGTAGGCGAGGAGGTTAGGACAGTCGTGGATCTTCATCGACTCTCTAAATTTGGAACTTTTATGGCTCCTGAGGCCGAGGCAGAGCCGGACGAGTGACACCTCAAACTCCCGCTGACAGGAAACCCGATGTGCGTTTTTTTTTTTTTTCTGGAGGACGCAGAAACGCGACGGGAGGAGYGGAGTTGGGATGCCGGTCACGGGTTCACCAGAACACAGCTCTTCAATTTCACCTGCAGCTTCGGTGGAAAATGTAAGAGGAGCGGAGGAGGTAGGGGGCAGATCTGGGCTTTAATCTGCACCATCCACTCCACCAGGACCTCCCCCTCTGCCACTCTGAGGGATGAGAACTTTATTATTTCAGATGGCAAAYCCAGCCCGCTCCCCCTCGCTCAGGCCTGAGCAGCACGGAGAATCAAACCACAGCAGCTGAAATTTTAATACCAACTGATATTTGTCCAAAGCACTGAGCAAAAAAACACAAAACTGCAACTGTTGTGTGGAAACAACAGGTGAGGTTTGTGCTCCGAGTCACTTATCCTCCACTCAGAAAGCAAAGCTTTCAGGTAAAATGACTGGAGTCTTTACTAAAGAAGTATAAAATTTAAAACGGTTTGTTTTTATTCCTACAAACATTCTGAGTGAGGAATCATTTATGTTGCTAACATGAGCCTCCAGTTTATTTAAGGCTCTTCGAACAAAACAGAAACTGGACTCCAGATGTTTATTAAATCTTCTTTAAAAATAATCAACTTTAATAAGCAGCAGCTTCATTAATACAACCCCAAACTTTCTATTTTATCTTCATTATTCTACTGAAAGCAACTATTTAGCAGCTGTTCCAGTGAGTGAGCGAGCGAGCTAGTTAGTTAGTTAGTTAGTTAGTTAGTTAGTTAGTTAGTTAGTTAGTTAGTTAGTTAGTTAGTTAGTTAGTTGTTAGTTAGTTAGTTAGTTCGTTTTCCATTAATGGTAAAAAAGTGCCTGTGACATGCCTATCTATTGAATATAAAAAGTCAAAGAAAACACATTTTTATATGAGAAACCTTGCATAAAACAGGATTTTTACCCATTTGGTCACAAAAATGGCACATTTTCTTTTGAACTTGGATCAGCCAAAGTTAAACAGGAAGTGACATCAAAGGGGAACTCTTTAAGAAAGAGTACCCTCTAGTCTTTGTTTATTGAAATTATATTATTTCAACTCTGACTTGTCTTCAAAGAAAGTCTCCTGGATGTTTCCAGAATGTCTCCAGATCTTGACACCTGCACAGAGCTGTCACCTGACAGAAAACGTTCGAGGCAAATGTCCAGATCTAAAATAAAAAAGCACCCTGATGATAATAATAAAGTATTTCTTCTTTTCCTTCCTTTGCAGGAAAGTCCTCCGGCCCGCCCGCCTCTCCTGCTCTGAGCCGTCACTTAGCCAGGTAACCCCGCCCCCCACTTCCTGTTTCATCAAACAGCCCTGACCACGAGTCCTGCAGAGTTTTTACTGATCAGTTATATGTAGGTCACCCTGCTGGTGCCGGTTCAGCTGCAGCACCTTCATGAAACCAGATCCAGAGGTTTTCACCCGATCCTCCTCAGTATTAAGTGCCTCTCAACACCTCACTGCAGAAGTAATCCTTTAAAATTAGTCCATGGTGAACACCTTTACTCGGAGCCCCCCTGCATGTGGACCAGGGCCGGAACCCGAAACCACCCTGCAGAGTTTCTCCTCTAACGTTACCCCCCTGGAACCTAAAATTTACAGCAGAATATCTGTGGTTTGTTTGCGTCCCTGCAGCCGCGCGGTCCAGAGGAGCATCGCCATCATCCGCCACGCCCGCCACAGGAAGCAGCACAAGCAGTACTGCATGTATTACAACCGCTTCGGCAAGTGCAACCGTGGCACAAGCTGCCCCTTCATCCACGACCCGGACAAGGTGGCCGTGTGCACCAGGTAACCCTTCAGTTTCAGCTGGTTTTCATTATAAAGAGTCAAACCCACTCCTAACACAAAAACATTCATAAAGCACCACTTGTCATGAAAGTAACAAGTCCAGTTCATCTACGACTCAGTTATCAGCAGTGGTCCTGGTCCTGGAGGGACATGGTTTACTTGTTTCTCTGCTTGGTTTGGACTTTAGTTAGTCCGGTTCATTCTGAGTCCAGATGTTTGTAACGTTGGTGATGTCATTCAGGAACGGTAAGGTGGGGGTTAAAATACATATCCTGACCAAAGAACAGCCTTTCTTATATCCACAGGAGCTGAAATGACGCTCGGATAAAAGGGTTCTGGTCATAGACTTAAATATAAAGATCACTAGACTGAGCCCCGCCCATCCTGTCCACGGGTAGTGTCTGTGACATCATGGAGGAGCAGAAACATAAACAGGACAACAGCTCACAGCCTCCAACAGCAGCTGAACCGGATCTGTTTCACACATTATCTGTCATGTTTTTACAATAAATTAATAATTATGTTAATTTCATTCAACAATCATGTAAAACAGCAGATTTATACCAGAAAAATATATAATTTATAAGTAACAATGATCTACAGTGGTTTGCAAAAGTATTCATACCCCTTGAACTTTTCCATATTTTGTCACATTACAAC